GGGGTGCAGTGTGTCTGAGGCGCACCAGTGAGTATTGAGATTGATGTGGTCTTTTTTTTTTCTCTGGGACTTACCATTAGGGCGGTGCGGTGCCCTCGCCGCCGTCATGGTTCTCCACATGCAGGCGGTCAGACCAACAGATATCGACACGTGCAGCACATAGTATAGATGCAGAGCTACACACCGAGAAATGGAGAGGCCCCCAGACCCACCACACCCACCCAGCCATCCATCCATCCAGCCATCCGTCCGTCCACGCAGAGGCATGTGAGCCCTCACCACCCACACAGCCATCCAGCCACTCTGCTGTTCCGTCAACATCAGCAGCAGCAGGCAGCTGATGTACCCACACCGTGGAAATCAGCGAGCTACAGCCAGAGAGGATGACGAGCACCACTCCATCACCGTCCTGACCACCACACACACGCATGCAGAGGCATGGCACTTTGCAGAGGGGTGCAGTGTGTCTGAGGCGCACCAGTGAGTATTGAGATTGATGTGGTCTGTGTGTGTGTGTGTGTGTGTGTGTCATTAGGGCGGTGCGGTGCCCTCGCCGCCGTCATGGTTCTCCTCTGCTGGTGCATCCTCACCCTCACCTGCCCAATGGACAAACAAAGGCACACACACACGCACACGCACACACACATATGGAAGGTCCATCAATCGTCCATCTCTCTCTGCGTACCGTACCATTGAGATCGTCACTATCTTCATCCGCCTGCTGCTGTGCCGGTTACTGTGGCTGCTGCTGCTGTGGCGGTTGCACCTGTGGCTGCTGCTGTTGTACCTGGCCGTCGAAGACGAATGGCGCCACTACCTCCAGCACCACACGAGCCACCCAAGTGGTCAGCGGGAAGCGGTCCTTGAAGGGCGCATACTCACTCACACCTGGCGCAGCTGTCTCGGTCGTCCAAACAGTAGCGAACACTGCAGACAACCAGAAAGAAACACTGATGACATTTGACGAGCAGATCTGCCTGTCTGTCATTCTGACCGGTGTTGTTGCCCGTATCCGCAATGGAAATCCACGCGACGAAGGGGTGGCTGTTGTCGGTGAGCACCAGCTCTCGCACATCACCACCGTGGAGGCTGAGTGTGGTGGTGCATTCGGCCACTGGTGCGTGGGGCGACTGAGTGAGGGGGCCATCCAGACGGCCGCCGCCAACATACCTGAACCAACCACACACATACACACACAATCATACACGCACCCCTTTCGCCCACTGGTTTCATTGTGTTACCTGTTGAGGAATATCCCTGTGTCATCTATCTGGTGAGTCTGCTTGAAGTGGTCGAGGATCTTGTCCTTGACCAGCGACGACACCGACGCATTGATGGATGCGCAAGAGTGCGACAACCACATGCCGTCGTTGTAGTAGTAGATGCGGTCCCTCACTGGAGGGTCATGCTCTAGTCGGTGCTGCTGATACAGATGGTCGGCAGCGGGGGGCGGGTCGACGGTCAGCCGGAAGCCGGGCTCGTCCTTGATGGCCCGCACCTCGTTGCCATGGCGGTAGAACTGCAGGCAGCTGCCGTCGCCGAAGTGCACGTGGCGGCCCACCACCATGAGCTGCGCCAACACACGAGCTATGAAACTATACGCCTTCACGCCACCACACACACACACACAAACAGACAGAGAGGGAAGAATGAAAAAGGTCTGTCTGTTCTCCCCCGCCCCTGTGTGTGTGCCCTACCGTCTTATCGGCGTGTATGTTGATGTCATCGGCAGTGATGTTGACCGGCAGAGTGCAGTAGCGGCACTTGCTGGCCAACTGTAGCACCTCTGCGACCTCATCAGACTTCTGCTGCTCCACCATCCACATGGCCGCCAGCAGCAGCCGCGCCCCGGTCACCGTCTGTGTGTCGAACGTAATCACAGCATCCAGGCGCGTGCCGTCGGCGAGGGGAATGCGATGCAGCGACCGGTTGAGGCGGCCGCGGAGGGTCTGGGCAGGGAAGTCGACATTGCCGATGAAGAGCGCTGTGCTTCTGAGCCTGCCGATATCTTTGGTGTCGTCGTACAGGTCATCTCGGCCGTCGCGGTGGACCATGTCGAGGACTTGGCCGTTGATGGCCGGGGGGGCCACATCGCTGCTTCTGCTCGACGAAACGGTGCCGCCCATCCCTCAGCACCGACAAACAGGGCTGCTTTCTACGACATCCAGGGGATCAGTGAAACGCCAAGTCACCTGCAACAGACAAAGGGCGGCGGTGATGGATCCGTGTGTGTGTTCGGTCTGTCTTCACGGCACTCACCTGTGCGGTCTTTGTGCGCCTAAAGCCTGCCGGCGCGGGCTCGCCGTGAATGGATTCGATTTGCCGCAACGAAACTACACGCCATGCGGCTGCACACATTCCTTTCTCCTCTGCTCCTCATCCTCAAGCGAGCTTTTTTGCGAGCTTGAAGCAGATCTCCCCCTAGAGTTTGACCATTTCCTGCATCTACGACATCCTCAATACAAGCACCGATGGACTCGGATGATGACATGCTCAGTCTGGATGAATCCGCGCCGCCAGAGCAGCATGCAGCGAGTGACGAGGCTCTGAGCCGCGTGGCAAGAAGAAGAGGAAGGGCGGAGGCTTCCAGTCGATGGATCTCAGCGCCGGCGTGCTCAAGGGCGTCCTCAGGATGGGCTGCAAGGTCCCGACTCCCATCCAGAGAAAGTGCGTGTGTCATCCATTCATTGCATCCCATCCATCGAGAAGCGTCCGCACTGGCGTGGACTGGTCACTCATCCACTCGGTCAGTCAGTCAGTCGTGATGGGCACACTGGTGCATCGGTGAATATGTTATATCATCTTATATACACACACAGAGAGAGAGTGAGTGCCCTTTGCTCTGTTTCGGCTGCATGTCGCTCGCTGTCTGTCTGTCTGTCAGTCTGTCTGCATCGATCAGCTTGTGGTCCGTCGGGCACAGCTAAATAGGCAGGCAGTACGTGAGGCCCGCAAGTGGCGGCCAGCTATTTATGTATCGACAATGGAGAGCAGATCAGTCATTGAATGAATGAGAATGAATGATATGCACTGTATATATATCGAGGGACTAGGCACTAATCACACCCACCCACACTCCAAACCTGCCCACCGCTTGCAACCGTGGTGGCCTGGCCCCTCTAGTCTAGCTAGGCATTCCATCCCTCGGTCTCTTTATGGATCCACCCTCCCTCCCGCCGATGCAGCCGCCCATCAGTCTATCTATCGGTCTCTCTGTCTTTCTGTCTCTAACTCTGTGCCTATCTATGTCTCCTGGCTGGCTGCTGTGGCCTTGGCCTTCTCCTTCATGAGCGACTTGATCACCTGCTGAACCTGCACACACCACACACCACACCACAGCAGCCAGGAGGTATCGCGTGTGCCGTGTGCTGCTGTGTTACTCTCTCCCTCTCTCTCTCTCTCTCTCACGTCTGTGGCCTGCACGTGTGGCGGCTTCTGCCGGGGGTTCTCCTTGGCGTCAGCCACCCAACTCTCGCGAGCCTACACACACCACACACACGCAGCACTGTGTCCCCCACTCACCAGTGTATGTGTGTGTTTGGACGTACCCGTTTGTTGAGTGCGACTACGATTTGGGCAGTGGTGGAGCCGGCCTCCCACATGTCGCTGATCACCTGGGGGAAGTCGGACGTCAGGGGGTGGTCGAACACCGCCTGCCGCCGCGCAGACAAAATGCTCGGCTCCTGAACAAACGAACGAACGAACCGCCCCCGCGCCCGAGAGAGAGAGAGAGAGAGAGCGCCACATCAGTCCAGACTGCGGGTGGGTGGGTGTTGAAGTGAGGGCAGGCACATACCTGGTGTGCGAAGAGGACGTCGGTGCCCGGGCGGATGTCGGGCACGACGTCAGGCCACTTGGCGTCCATCAGGAACCGCACCGCAAACCCGCCCTCGCCCACACCACCAACACTAGCATCCTTGCCAGCGGGTGCAGCAGCAGCCACCACTGGCTGCTGTTCTTGCTGCTGCTGTGTCTGTTTCTGTGCTGCTGGAGGCTGCTGCTGCTGCTGGTGGTCGGGGATGGATACGAGGGCCGGGCGCCACTCCTCGTCGTTGTTGTCCTCCTTGTGGTAGTACCTGCACACACCAGACAGACCACACACAGACGGAGGGTGGGTCGGCGCGAGGCTGGGGTGGGTGGTTTGGTGGTTTGGCGGCTTGCCTTGCGAATGCGAAGCACTCGTCGTCGTCGTTGATGGTCTCCCACAGGTTGTCGCCCTGCTCCTTGCTGCGCGACTCCAAGCGCTTCCGGAGCTTCGCATACCTAAATGAGTGAGTCAATGAGTGGGTGGACGAGGGAGGACAGACACAGAGTGACACAGAGAGAGGGAGAGAGGGATGTGTGTGTGTGTGTGTGTGCGGGGCTGTCACTTGGGGTTCTTGTCTGAGTATGCCCTGGTGGGCGCCATGATCTTGACGTGGTGAATCTGCGCAGACAGACAGACAGACAGACAGAGTGCATTTGAGCACACCCCACCGTCTCCTCCCCTCCCCTCCCCTCCCCTATGTTTGTGTAAGTGCTGATAAATGGATGGAGGGCCCACCGTTGCTTCTGGTACGCCGAATTGGAATCGAGTGCGGTAGTGTTTGAGCAGCAGGTCGGGGTCCAACGGCTCCCAGTTCTTCTCGTCTTTGAACTCTGCAACATTTGCGCGCACACACGCGCACACACACACACACACACACACCCGTGTGAGTGGTGGATGGATGGATGGACAAAGCCTCACACACCTTCCATGAGCACTTTTCTGTAGTCTTTGTGTGTCGGGCTGATGCGACTAAGGCGCTCCGACGGGATGAGCACCAAAGCACAATAACTGACAATCAATATGACAACAGCCACAGCAGCGACACCGGCTGGTGTCCGTCTGTCTGTCTATCTATCTGTCTGTCAAGCACTCACTGACCGAGAGGTGTTGGTGAGGGAGATGCCAGAGTACTTGGACAGGCCCTTCTCAGCCATCTCCTTCTTAGCCAATTCTCCCGCAGCCAAATGGGTCTTGAGGATCAAATCTGAACACACACACACACACACGCCTTCGTCTGCCCATCCATCCATCCCCTGTCCAGCTTCCTCCCTCCCTGCCGCTGCCCGACCTGTGACAGAGTCCGATGCCAGCAGAGTCACCCCATGGGAGCCGGCGGCACCAGAGGAAGTCTGCCCCCTCCCTGGACCAGCCGCCCCGGCAGCCATCATCCCACCACCACTGCGAAACTCAATCTTGATCTGAGAGTCCCAGAACTTGTCGCTGACTTCTTTGATCTCCTTCTGAGCGGCCCCACGCGCGCCGACAGGGCCGGCCTGCTTGCGAGCGTCCGCTTGGGCTTGCTCGAGGTGGTCGATGGCCGCTGCGGCGCCGAGCTTGATGTCGAAGGTGTTGTCCTGATTCCAATCGGGGTTGCACGTTCGCTGCACATTCACGCACCGCAAAGAGAGAGACAGAGAGAGGGGGTGGTGGTGGTGTGGTGGGTGGTGTGGGTGTGGTTGGGGTACTCACGGGGATTGTCTTGTAGGGTTTGTGTTCGTATCTGTTTGTGTCGGTGTTGAAGCCCTGTGCCAGCTCGAACCGCCCGGTGGTCTCATTCTGACACCAAACAGGGCACGCTGGTTGATGTGGCTGGCTGGCCATTGCGCTGTCTGTCTGTGTGGGTCGGTGTGGCTGTGGGAGCTCGCCTTGAGCCACACGCGGACGAACGGGTCAGGAGAGTTGTTGCCATCCACCATCCGCAATCCGTTGGCGCTCCTGACGCACACACACACACACACACACACACAGAGAGAGAGAGAGAGAGAAATGGGCGCAGGCCTCTGTGTGTGGAGGGCTGTTGTGAATGTCCGTGTGGACGCGCACGCACAGGAGTTTGAGGTGCAGCCTTCCGCGCTGCTCCTGGCCCGCACTCGCCAGCTCGGTGCAGGGGTACTCCCACTTGGCCCGGACACTCACGGTGCCCTTCACCTGCACACACACACACACACACACATGCGATTGTCTGTCCATGTGTGTGTAGAGAGGTACCTGCGCCCCGGCTGGGAGCTGCTTGGTCTTGCCCCCTCTGAAGCGCCACACCAGACAGACCGACACGCACACGGGGAGAGAGAGAGACAGAGAGAGAGAGGGAGATTCCATGCCTTCGCGCACATGGCTCCCTGCATCCCTCCATCCCTCTCCCTCGTACATCGCTTTTGTGTTGTCCGATTGGTCGTCTGGGGCCTTCAGCTCGAGGTTGTTGAGCGACCGCAATGTGATCAAACTCGACAAAGACGGCAGCCAGCACTCGCCCAGCAGCCTGACAACCACACAATCACATCCATCCATCCATCCAATGAGTGTGGGAGGGACATTCTGCTTAGCTTACGTGGGTGTCCTTTTGAACAGCCTCTTGGTCGGTGATTTGCTGCGCGTCCCCGTGAGCGACAGAGCGACGTCGGGATCGGGATCCTGGTCCCACACCTCGAGCAGCACCGCCTGGCCGGGGTCCACGCTGCCGAACAGCTCGTCAACCTCGGTGCCACTCGGCAACCACACATTCATCTGCACACACAGACACACGCACACAGAGAGAGAGGGAGAGATGGATGGATGGAGCAGGGGAGAGGGGGGGGGAGGGGGGGTGGGGTACCTACCTGGACAGGCTCAGGGTTGTAGTTCTGCTGTTCTATGTTTGAGAAGCGTGCGAGGGATTCGGTGAGGAGGGGGCAGCTGAGCATTGCCGTGAGGAAGAACGACTTGTCCACGTAGAACAGAGACCTGTCCCTCTCCTATGGATGGGAACCAACACACACACACACACACACAATCGCAAGAGATGCTTGCAGGAGTGTGTGTGTGTGTGAGTGTGGTGCTTGCCTGGTCGTCGAATCTGCACACGGGCTCGGGGCTGTCGTACTGGATCTGAACACGCACACACCCAATACACGCACGCATCGCCTGTCCCCCTCTCTCTCTCTCTCTGTGTGTGTGTGTGTGTGTGGTTACCACTCCGCGCTTCACAGGTATCTTCACGCACACCCTCTCACCAGACGCACTCCGCGAGTACCGAATCCTGCACCATACACACACACACACACACTTCAGCCCATCCCACCCACCCACACCCACTCTCGGAACTGACCGCAGCCAAGTGGC